GAAGCCCGGGGCAGAGCAACTCTGCCTCGGGCTTCCTGTAGTCAGCCGCTGGTCAGTTTCAGCAGCGGCTGAATCTGGACGCCAGTTCCGACTTACATACAGATTCAACTTAAGAACAAACCTACAGTCCCTATCTTGTATGTAACCCGGGGACTGCCTGTACCTTGAATGTAAACAAAAAAGACTTATGGACACAGTTGGATTTTGGTAGTGAGAAGAGATTGAGGGAGAACCTGGAAGTAATAAGTGATTATCAAAGGAATGTGAGGCTAAATTCTCTGTAGGGCAGGAGCAGAGAACCTTTTTTGGGTCAGGGGCCACTGACCCACAGAAAAATCATTCAGGCCCAAGCTAATAGGGTTTGTTTGCTCCATCCCCAAGTGGAGAACAACAGTGGGGACTAGAGCACTAGCGGAGGCTCCCCAATGCTTGGGGAGAGCCCCAAACCTCAGCCGGGTCCAGGCAAGCCTTGGGTTCCCTACCCCTGCTCTAGGGTGTGTACAAAGAATTTGAGTCCTGCCTATTTCCTCAGCAGAGCTGTGCAGCAGCGCTCACCTTCTTTAGATGTGGAAGGTAAGCTGGTGGTAGTGGGCTTGGTGGAAGAGTGAGGGGCCAGGGCCATGTGATGGCTGCTCAACTGCTCCCAGATTAAGTATCCTGAATATGAGGAGGGGGGAACTCTACAGGGGATTTGGGTAGGACTAGGTGAGCATGGAGAGGAAGAGATCTTGAATCTGAAGAAAACAGCCTTGTTGTCTAGATTCATCTGTTCCTTCTGACTTAGATCTGGATCAGAGTTGGTGATCTCAAGGTTTAAAGCTTTATATTCAATTCTTTAATTTCTGTAGTTCTGTACTGGACATATTAGCAGGAATCTTCAACTGGTAACTTCATGAATTTATCTGATCTCTTGCAGCTGGGCCAGGACTGCGAGTCAAGTGTTCTATTCCCAGTTCGTGAATCCTGCTTGTCACCAAAGAGGCCACGCTGGATTGGTGGTGAGTAATCCATGACATAGTGAAGGCTGAATTGGCCACTTTTTCAAGAGGCAAAATAGTCTACTTCTTGCTCTCTTTCCCCTAAATACTGCACACTATTTTGCTTACCCCTAAAATCTGGACTATCTAATAGTAACATGCACTTTTCAGTGAGAACGTCCTGAGGCATAAGATATTGTAAATATACATGAGTTCAGCTTTTTTGAGTGTAATGCTGGAGGGAGAATGTTGCTGGTAAATTACTTTGAGCCAAATGGAAGAGAGCAATCAGTTTCTAATTAGCTTTCACAATGGTTCAAACAGTCATAAAACCAACTCCGTTAGATACGCAAAAAATGTGTGTTTTTTGGTTTGGTAACAGAGGTCCCTTGAGATTGTTACCTGATGGGCTGATCATACCACTGAGCTCACCTACCTGCCCTCTGGGGTGCCCCACCACCCTGCTCTGCTGAGCCACAACCTCTGGCCTTCCCAAGTGAAGTCACTGAGTTGGGGTCACAGCCCACAGCAACCAATACAGACACTTAGAGTAGCTCAGCTGTTAGAGTAGCTCAGTCACAGGGACCTGATGCAGCACCCAAATGCACAGCTCCAAAGGAACCAAAACTCCAAATAAATGTGTTTCTATCCATTAAAGTTTATACAAAGTGAGCTCATAAGTTGTTCACCCCTTTTATAAATGAGAGAGATGCATTGCTATTGTCCCCCTCAGGTAGTAATTATTTACACTGGGTTTAATAAGAACAAAAGTAATATTAAGTAGTAGAACACTTACTTGGTGTTGTTGAAATCCTTCAGGGCTGAGGGTGTGGAGTGTGCAGGAGTCAGGGCAGGGCTTACATATGTGGGGGGTCAAGCAGTTAGGGTTGGAGGGTGAGGAGGAGCTCGGGGGTGAGGGATGCAAGAGTCAGGGGATGGCCATCAATTTCATCTTGGAGAAGGGTCACTCAGGCTACCTGCCAGCTTCTCCCTGGGGCCGAACCAGGGTGAGGACTGGGCACAGACTGTCTGCCAGCTGCTTCCCAGGGTGGAGGGGTGGGCACACAGGCTACCCACTGGCTTTTCCCCAGGGCGGGGTAGTATATGGCATGATCTCCTGGGGCCACACAGGTCACTCACCATCTTCTCACCAGTGGCACAGATTGCCAGTGTATATGTGGCATGGTCATCTGGGCAGTGGGAGCCATGCCGTAACTGGCAGCTGCTCTCCAAGGTAGGCAGGGGGCCGAGAGCAGCAGGAGCCATGCTGCTAGCCAGCAGCTGCTCCACAGGGCTGAGGCACTTCCTTAACCTCTGTGGTCATTCGTGTGTATAACTGTCCCTGCTATCACACTCCTTCCTTTCCATTTTATGACAGGAGTCTCATTCCAGGTGTGTCCCATTGTCCTGGCACAACCACACCCCGATCTTGCTTTAAGTTATGGTAAAAGGAAGCTGCCTACTAAATTTGGTGGTCCTAGCTCTGACTGTTTAGGGGGAGTTCTTGAACAAACTGCAGTCAGACTGATTCACGTTTCTAAATAGGGATGTAATAGTGTAGTCGATTAAACAATAAACAAAAGCTTATCAGTTAATGCTATAGACTATACGAATCTCCCCCTGCCAGTACATTTTTAGCAGGCTGGCCAGCAACCCGACTCAGTCCCGGCTTGCACCAGGTCCAGGATTTACCTCTGCTGCAGCTCTGCATTTAAAGTGCATTAAGTAGTCAGCCCAGCTCAGTTCCAGCTTGTGCCAGGTCCAGGAGCTCACACCCCCTGCAGCTCAGAGAGGGGCTGCTGCCACCCCTGTATCAGAGGCAACAGTACAGGGTGACAGGCAGCCCGTCTGCGAAGGGGGCTGGGGTTCACCAATACAGAGTCAGCAGCATG